CCCCCCCCCCCTTTAAACTCCAAAAGCAAACTTTCCCTTTGACATTTACTAGAAGATTCTTAAAAGCTCATGTTTTTCTGTTCCTCCTACAGCAGCAGACAGAGGGGGATGCTCTAAGCTTGTATCTGTGGCTGCCATTGATTAAAAGACTATAATAACTTTAGCCTGGACATTTACTGTGCTGTTCCTGTTAGTGTGATCATGGTTTTATTATTGTCTATGAACCAATTATGTTTCCATAATTTCATGATTGTAAATGTACTTCCAGAATGATGGGAAGTTATTTCAAATGAATTAAATGGCCCCAAAGTGATGTCATTTTTAATATGCTGAGATGACTAAGCTAATTATTAGCATTTATTAATCCCCCAGCTGACTCTGTTTCTTCCCTTGATGCTTCGGTCCTTATCTTGTGCCTTATTATCTTGCATTAGGATTTCCAAAGAGCATTTGTCCAGAGCGCCAATCCCGGACGATGTTCTGAAAAATAAGGATTCTTTGGCCAGATGAGTAGAAAATACTGTATTATGAACCTCCCCGTGTTGGAGACTGAGAACACATTTAGTCTTTGTAGGTTCTAGTAAGTCTTGCAGTCAACAAACCGGTGTAATCTTGTTTAACCTACAGCTTTCTAAATTGACCCTGGGAGAGCCTCTTTCCCACAGCTCTCAGCATCTCACGGAAGTGGGCTGTGGCGGGTCCTTTAGAAATGTTGCTGTTCATCGTCTTTACTGATCCTGTCCTTTCTAGACCTCATTTCCTCCTTTGCCACTACCTCTTGGGTTCTCTCCACCCATTAGTACAGTGATGCTCACACTGGATGGAGCAAGGGACTGCTCTGGCCGCCTTGAGTTTTCGGATCACCCATGCCTTGTCACACACTTTCGTGTTGTTTGGAAGGCCCAGAGCCTCTGGGCCATAAAGCAGAGAACCACTGCAATACCATTGACCACTCTATAAACCCATTTTCTTTCCTCTTCTTTTGTAGTTTTAAAACTCCCTGCGTGATTTGTTGTCTAAACTTTTGTGTAACTGGTTTCTTATTTTGTTAGCTTCTCCCCATTAATTATCTTCCACATTCTCATTAACAAAAAAACCAGGGAGCTGGGATTGGAGCGTGAGGTCCAGTCCCAGAGGGGAGAAGGCCAGGTCATTTCCTTCAGGGCTGAGGCAGCAACTGCAAGCAGGCTCGGAGGGTTTTCTTCCTCAGGTCCCCTGTGGAAGGTGGGAGAGGCCGTG